CTAAAAAAAAAAAAAAAAAAGAATCTTGTTGAGTACAAGAAAGCCAGCCTCCCATGCACGCAGGATTCTCCAATTCCATGATCATACAGAGGTTGTACAAACTCTCCAATTCTTGGGATCATGGCTGACCAGGCCCACCAGATCAGCTAGTCCACGAATGCTGGGGTGAAGTCCAGGCACTGGCACTTGCAAAAGCTCTGTGGTTTCCCTGTGTGCAGTCCCTATTGAAGATCCCCATGGCAAACCATCCACACTGCCTTTTCTTTTAAAAATCCACGATAGAGGGGCCAGCAGGTTAAGGTGCTGGACTCCAACATGGCTGACTGTGGTTCAAGTCCTAGACCTGGCAACTCGCTTTCTCTCTCTCTCTTTGGCCTACACCAAATTAAAATAATAATCATAAACAAAATAAAAAAAATTCATAATGGGGAGTACGTGGACATGACAGAGAGAGAAAAGCACCCTCAACAGGGTTTCCTCATGCCACAATACCCTTCCCCTAGCCCGTCACCTCCTCAGGCTGTTGAGTGGCCATGTGCACACACAGCATGTTTTCAGGCCACCCCAGGGATCCAAACCATGGTCGGCCATGTGGCTTCCAGCACTGCAGTTCAGTGCGCTATCAACTGCGCCACCTGGTGGGGTCCCTTCTCTCTTTAAAATGTAGTTGTCTGTATCCTATACACATTCTTGCAGATGAAAACCTCTTTATGTTTTTCACTTGAACTAAAAACATGTAGTGATCATACAGAGGTTGTACAAACTCTCCAATTCTTGGGATCATGGCTGACCAGGCCCACCAGATCAGCTAGTCCACGAATGCTGGGGTGAAGTCCAGGCACTGGCACTTGCAAAAGCTCTGTGGTTTCCCTGTGTGCAGTCCCTATTGAAGATCCCCATGGCAAACCATCCACACTGCCTTTTCTTTTAAAAATCCACGATAGAGGGGCCAGCAGGTTAAGGTGCTGGACTCCAACATGGCTGACTGTGGTTCAAGTCCTAGACCTGGCAACTCGCTTTCTCTCTCTCTCTTTGGCCTACACCAAATTAAAATAATAATCATAAACAAAATAAAAAAAATTCATAATGGGGAGTACGTGGACATGACAGAGAGAGAAAAGCACCCTCAACAGGGTTTCCTCATGCCACAATACCCTTCCCCTAGCCCGTCACCTCCTCAGGCTGTTGAGTGGCCATGTGCACACACAGCATGTTTTCAGGCCACCCCAGGGATCCAAACCATGGTCGGCCATGTGGCTTCCAGCACTGCAGTTCAGTGCGCTATCAACTGCGCCACCTGGTGGGGTCCCTTCTCTCTTTAAAATGTAGTTGTCTGTATCCTATACACATTCTTGCAGATGAAAACCTCTTTATGTTTTTCACTTGAACTAAAAACATGTAGGGCATCAGAAAAATAAATACATTATTAAAATGGAATCTGTAAGATTTTCTTTGGATTGAGCTCTCCCATCTTTTTGTTGCTGTTAATCTATTTATAGGTTCTTAAGTGATTCTATAATGTGGTCTTTTCTTGACTCACATGAATAAATTCACTTTACCAAACATATTTTTTTACTTCTTTCATATAAATACTAATACATGTTTCCAAACATGAACAGAAAGTAGGTAAAATAAAAAAGAGTGGTCTCTGGAGAGTTTACATCTGTCACCAGTTGACTCAGACCACTGCAGATTAATGTGGAGGGTGAGCCAAGAGATTATCAAGGGAAGGAAAGCAGTCCCACACAAGGGAAGGGCCTCTGGATGTGAACATCTGCATAATGAAAAAAATGAAGCCCAAAACAAGACATTACAAAATTTCCCAGATGTGAAGTACCCTCTGTTTGTATCTAAGAGACATCACCCAGCCAGATAATGGTCTAATAAAATGCTCCCAACCCCTTCAGAATACCAAATCCTTCCAAGCAAACTTCCCAAGACTTCCCAGGAATAGAAGAGAAAGCCTCCATAATCTACCTCTAAATAAAGCACCTCCTTTGAATGACCCTTTTGACCACTAAATTCTATCACAAAGTGGCTTCCTCCTGATTTCCTTAAAGGAGGAGTGGGGACGGTGAAGGGTCTCAGAAGGGAAATACCTGCCCCATGTCTAACCACTCCTAGTTTTTCCTTACGGGGAGCGGAGACTCAGGCTATGGATGCTTTTAAGCAGATGCTTTGGAGAGCTTACTGCTGACCTCACTGTCTCCCAATGTGTTTTCTCTGCTCTTTTAGAACTCCTCAGACTTTAAAGTTGCAAATACACCCACAAGGGAATTTTCATGATTGCATATAATCTGCACTTGATAAGCTAGACATTTTACAGACAGGCCCAGCATGGAGCAATTCCTCTTCTAAGCAAGCATTTCCCACCAAAACACTTAAGCCACTGAGAGGGCTTGATCTAGGGTGGCAGACAGTGAATCAAGGATGAGTGTTTTAATAGAAGCCAAGAGGAAAACCTTGGGAGGAATCAAGGGGAAGGAGCTACGTTAAGCATTTTGCCAATTGCGATGGAAATGGATTTTTCTTGCAGCACGAGCCTGCTTGCATGTTCTGGAGGGTTGGTATAGGAGCAAACTGCTCCCTGGGACTTCTCCGTCATACTCAGCACTTATGAGGACTTCTCTAGCACTTTGCATCCCAAGGTAGTTTAAAGGCATTAATTAAGGACTCAATTAGTTGTTTCAATTTAAGTAATAGAAAAAAAATATATCTAATTATAACTGGCTTCCCAAGCCTCTCAGAAGGATTAAACACTAAATACAGACACAACCTTGTTTTCTTAGATCTCTGACCTCTCATGATATATATCTAAAAAAAGTTCTTGTTTTCTTTTCTTCCTTTTTGTTCTTTCTTTCTTTTTCTCTTTCTTTTTTAAAGATTTTTGCCATAAGGTGTATGCACTCTCCAGAGACAAACAGAGAGAGAGACAGTGAGAGGGAAAATGGGAAATCACTTCCTGGGTGGGGGAAGGGATGGTCACACCACAGTCCCTTCTCCTCCATTCTCCGCCTGGGATTTTGGGCATGCACGCATACACAGCTGGTGTGATTTTCGAATCACCAGGTCCGGGACTCAAATTGTGGTCGGCCA